ATCCTGCTGCTGCTCCTCCGAGGCTCATTCATAAAACCAAAAACAAGTCACACATCAGGCTTTTAGACAAATAACGCTTCACAGCAAAGCAAGTGCAAGGCTGCATAATGGCCGACTCTTTACTGCAGCCATTAACTTTTACGGTCTTTGACCCAGTTGTATGTTTCCTAGTTAATGTTATGAAGTGAAAGCCTTAGGAAGTATCTGCTTATGTGATACATTTTACAGCCGGCGCCTCCTTCTTTTCCTGCTCTTTTTTAATCGAGGACAGAAGTGGAGCTCTCTATTTTCGGTTTCCCGCTGCCTGTGTTTGTACTTTCCCCTTGTATCTTTTTTTAGTATGTTTAATCAGAAATCATTTGTGAAAAATAAAACAGCCAACTTATTTAATATTTTTCATTGCTATGTTCACAGCTACTGTATTTGCTTTTGAGAATAAAAAAATGTAATTTCAGATTACTGAAAAAAAAATATATATATTATTTTTTTTGCTCATTAATCCTTATTATAAAGAGATGAGGTTGTGGTTGAGTGAACTTGTTAAGGTAGAGGTGATTGAAGGGTTATGAGATGCTGAAATAGATTGTTTTTAAATTTTCTTTTTTCAAAAATTAGAAAACAAAATGACACATTTGGTCTTTTTTCCTAACCAAAAAGCTAATCTTACCTCCTAATACAGCAGCTCCAATGAAGTTTATCTTTGATTAAGTTAGACTGTAAATAACTAACTTTACTTTCTGCAGAAAATCTGCTAAAACACACAGCAGCTTGTTTTCATTAGCTGTCAACATGAACGCAGCAGCTGCGTATTCCTAAGAATGAACAACAGAGACAACACGTAAGATGTTCCTGCTTTACCAGGGCATGTTTACACCTGGCTCACATGAACACACAACAGTGATTTGGTGACGTGCCAGTCCCACATCAAGCTGAGGGCCTCGCATGTTTTCCCTTATCCAGATTACATATTCAGAGGCAAATCCGGTTCAGTCTGGCCCCGTCTCTTTCATTCGAAACACGCCGTAAGTGTCTCTCGTTCCGATCCGTCTTCGCTTCCACGTCTCCCCCGACATTAGAGCTGCATTGTTTTGCTGTGTTGTAATCCTGCAGCAGCCGTTTCTGAGATGATTGTCCCTGCATGATAAAAACAAGCCCTGTCAGACACAACAGCCGATTACATGGCTTCATACGGAGATCACTCCTTGTGTATAAACACTTGGGGGAAAAAGCAATCAATGCAGCAACATGTTGATGGATAAATTCCTTCACTACCTTCACTAACAATGAAAAAAAAAAAGTCTGCTTTTTCACGTGAAAGATTCTGCTGTGGGGGAAAAAAAACAAACAAACAAAAAAACAGTCTTTGTTTTTACCCAGTTTTCTTCTTCTCTGTCTCGCCACTTCATCTCATCTGCCTCGGAGATATAATTGAACGATATACTCACGGCCGCAAAGTCTTTTCAGTGTCAGCTCTAATGTCATGCTTCATATTAAATGCTTGATGGTGAATCAGTCATCTAATAGATTGACTCTGATTGGTGACCTCAGAGACTGTGTGAGACACCAGGCTTCCTCTGACCTGCACTTGTTACTTTTCATCAGAACTCTGACCTGTTTGACCTCCGCAGTAGTTTCCCATGTTTACATTAATGGACCTGAAAAATCCACCTTCGTTGTCTGACTCCCTAAATAGAATGGCACAATAATTTTATGCAGTATTTAGGCTGAACATCTAGAGCTGAATTTAATTTAAATTCTGCAGTTGAAAGACTTCACCAAATCTTTAGGCCTGATGTGGTTTTTACAAAATGTTTTACAAAATGAAACCCTTGGATATTAAATTAAAACCTTTGAGAATTAGGACTTGCAAAAAAAAGTTAAATTTTAGCCTGGAGGATAGAAGAACTTCATCACAGAGAACTTTGTGAACTTTATAAAGTTTTTTTGTCAAATTCAAATAGCGATTTTCATGAAAAGGTCTCAACATGTCTCAAGGCTGCCGGAGTCTCTGGAGTCTTCGAAAACTTTGGATGCAGGAACCTCCAGAGGCTTGTGTTTTGCTGATAGCTGAATTCTGGCAACCAGTAGTCAGTGCCTAAAAAAGGAAAGAAACAGAAAAAACAGTATAAGAAGACTGACATGCAGTACCTTGGTCTAGATGGAGGGTGGTGGATGTTTAAAAAAAAAAAAAAAAAAAGCAAATTCTTTTTAAACGTTGACATCAAGGAGAAGCAGCTGAAATCAGATTTTGGGTTAGAATATTTTTTAAAGAAGTCTTTGGGTCAAAGTGGGATTCACATGGGTGTCAAAATGACCAGATAAGAACAGGTATACCTCATACATTGAAGTTAAAAATCACACAAAACAATGCACAGACTCATGCTGCTAAACAGCATCATTTTCTTCCTAGTTGTTATGAGCATAAAAAGAGAGAAACATTTAACAGTGTGAGCAGCATCTTAAATTGACCTTACCTTTACTGAACACATGTGGAGGATGTCAGGACTAGTAGAAGTTAACCTTAAAAGGGCAGCTGGATGTCACAATAGTACCTGGAAAAATAAACTGGATAAAAAAAAATATTAGAATTAGAAGACAGGTTTGAAAAATAAGTTACATGCTGATTTCTCAGGATGCAGGCAGGATCCAAATACAGCACCAGGGAGACTCACTGAGAAACTCACTGGGTCGCAGGAACAAGGCATGGACATCAAAAGACAAGAACAGCACCAAACAATCTGAACAGAACAAAGATGCCAAAAAAAAGGGAGGGAGAGAGGTGTATATGTACACACCCAGACCACCAGGTGACACCAGTTGGAAAATAAAATTTAAAATGATATAATCTCTCCACCACACAGGAGCTGCCCCTGCACCCCACTTTGGGAACCAGTCATGTAAGGCACCCCACTAAAACACCACGTAGGCAATAATTTACAACACGTTGTTTAATCTTTGGTTCTTTGCAAAGAAGGTTCACGTAGTGTTCCTGGTTAAAAAAAAAAAAAATTACAGACCCAGTTGTTTATATGTTGACACCCTGGCCTCTCTTCTGGCCTGTAGTGTGAAGTAGTCCAAGGTCCTCAGGTCAAGCACCAACCTGTTCTGCTTTCCACTGCTGAAGAGAGAGAGAAGGGACAAAGAGACACTGAAGGTGGCAGACCAAAAACGCCGGTGATTATTTTTAAAAACCACTGCTGCACTTGAGTACAGTCTCCCGTTACACGTGCCTGACCGCCGTCAGCGTCTTTATATCCCGCATTATTTGATTGCGTATTGATTTAGTTCTAAATTTTGCTGAGAAAACCTCCAGTTTGAGCTCAAGGGGAGGATGTGAGCAATTCAAGATGGGTTTCTTTGTATAGAACTCAGTCCTCTGGATTTTTTTTTTTTTTAATCGCTCCTCATCACAAGCAGCTGTTTTGCCGTTCTCCTTTTGGCCTTTCGTCTAGCCCCTAATCAGCTTCACTCTGCAGTGTCTGACCATTAAATTTCTGAGCCTCCCCAATGTGGTCCGAGTGGTAATTACATCTGCCAGAGAATAAGACACGTGCTAGTCCGTCTTTCTCAGTGGGACTTTGTGTGCGCTGCTGTGTTTAAACATTACTGTTGGTACATGGGAGTGTGTGTGTGGGGGGGGGGTTATTTTGAGACTACCTTTCTCACAGTCTCTTCTGTATGACTTTCTCACACTGCCCTTCAATTTCAACTCAGCTTCTCGGCAGCTGTTGCCAAGGACGTGGTTCGACCCCGGAGAAGGGATCTTTCTGAGGCTAATTCGCTCGTCTCCTGCGTTTCATCTTGAAGTCTTAACAGAGAGAAACACGCAGTCGAAGATTCTGGTTGTTATTTAAATTTTGCCTACTTAAAATGCTGTACATAAAAAGAGGGGGAAAATGTTCTTAGACGTGGTATGTTTTTGACAACATGAAAGTAAACAAGATAAAAAGGAAAAACCAGACACCTGTGCAGACGTGCGAATTTGGCAGAAAACCTGATGAAGTTCTTTGGTAAATCGTGCTTCAAAAAAGAAAACACCTTCATTGAGAGCGTGGGAGTTTACCTTATTAGAGCTTTGGTGTTTGAAGTGTACTGATTCTTATCCGCAGGGGCGCCGGCTATGCTTTTCCAAGTAAAGGTGTTTTTGTCCCATAACAAAGAGACAACCTTGATTAAGGAGGCACGCTTTTGTGAGTTGGAACGTGTGTTTTAATCACAGTTCGTAGAACTGCTTGTGGCTCTTTTAATGAGGCCCACTCCAGTTGGACGGCTGTCTGCGACGCCGCTTTGATCACTGGCCCGTGTATGCGGGATTACGCAGATAACACCACGCCGGTTTAGCCAAGCCGCCAAACAGCACACTCGAGTAGTGAGCACACAGATACACAAACGCAACAATATGCATATAAACACTGCTAACCACTGACAAGGGCAGAGATCTGTGAGCCAGATCCTGGTCGTGTCAGGGCCCCGTCATCTGGCTGCCTCTGTTTGTGCCGGTTTGGGTCGGACGAGTTTTAGGTTTGGCAGTGAGGTCTGTGCCAAAGAGGAGCTCAGTGAGGAAGGTCCAACCCCGCTGCACTGACACAGCACAGCTCTAGAGACTAATGGCTTGTAGCTCCCAACATATGTTGCTTTGTGTAATTGCTTTAATTGCTGTCATTGTACGTAATGGTCGGTCTTTTTCATCTTCCCTGGTGGTGTAGGCATTCTGCTAATTGCATCTGTCAGCCTTTCAGCTAAAATAAGCCTTTCAGACCAGTGGGGACCTAAAAAGCAGTGTTTCTCTTTACCGTCTGCATAAATAGCACGCTGCATAGTATTAGAACAATCGGCGGGACATTTCCGTGCGGATCTGCTCAGCTGGAGTGGGATCACGGCTCTGCTTATCAGCCCGAACCTTGTCTCACTTACTTGTCTTGATGTGACATGATGAAACAGATTAAAGAAGGTATCTTAATCTCAAACCCATCTCTTTTTTTCCCCCTTTTTTTTCATAGGTACGATACCATCACCAATCAGTGGGAAACTGTGTCTCCTCTGCCCAAGCCGGTCCACTCTGCGGCGGCCACGGTGTGCGGTGGAAAGGTGTACGTGTTCGGAGGCGTGAACGAGGCCGGGCGCTCGGCCGGTGTCCTGCAGTCCTACGTACCGCAGAGCAACAGCTGGAGTTTTATTGAATCTCCCATGATAGGTAAGACGTGTGATGCTGTTTTATTTTGTTTCAACACATTTTAATTTCAAAGTATTTGTCCATATTGTATGGAATAGGAAATCCTCCTTTAAGAAAAGTATACTACTAATAAAATAGTACACGATACTGTTTCTGGAAATACAGTTTCCAAACAATTATTTTGAAATAGTTTCAGTGTTATGGAATACTGATCCATCCTTGTACAAATAGACTAATCTGTGACATTTATGGCCATATACCCTCATATACAACAGAATCACACTGTGTATGCACTGACCTTCAAATCTCATCTTCTTCCCTCTCATTATTTCCTCTCTTACCGTGCTATTGTTCTCTCCATATCAGGTATAAAAAAAGCACATCTGAAATAAGAGTTTGGTTCTGTCTGTTGCTTTTGACAAGAATAACTAGTTATTCACCGTGGGAGCTCGCCGCCACAGTCTATCCAGATCTACCAGGGACGAGTGAGGGACACAACACCAGAGGAAACACTTTAACCGAGCTGCCATAACTCAATGTAGCAGTTTCTTTTTTTTAAAAAGGCTCAGTGAGTAATGGTAGCTTCACACACTGACAGTGCTAAGGCCCATGGGTAGAAGAGAGGCTTCCATGCAGATGCAGCATGAGGAGTCTGGCTATTTATGGAGAAAACATATTCTGATTCTGACGCTGTAACCCACACATTTCAACTACAGTCGTGTGTGTCTTTCCTGTGGCTACAGTAATACAGTACTAATAGATCTGTACTTTTGCTGCCTGTCCATTAAAGAGCGGCACACAAATCCACCTGCAGCCACATTACGCCTTGTTTGACTAATGTGCACAAAATCAAAGTGTGAAAACAATAATTTTCCCGTTTGACTGTGCGATCCTTTGAATCGGAAACAAGTTTTCATGGACATATTGATCGTCTCGTTTAAGGCACGGAGAGAAAGCAAACGAATGAAATTCCCATCACGTCGGGCTCTGATATGAATGCATATTGTCATTTATAAAATACAATTTTCACACAAATTTAAAATCTTTACTCGTTGCCGGGCTGACGGTGCAGGCATGTAACAGACTCTGGTGGAGAGGAGCTGTCCAAGTGCTGAAAACACCCATCCGTGTCTCACAGTTGCTGGCAGCGCTGTGCAGGTTTAAAAATGTGTTTACATTCAAGTATTTCCTGACAGGGAGCTGATGGTTGTGTCATTAAAGTTCCAGCGCAGGAGAACTCCCCTCGGCGTCGCAGCCCAGAAACTACCTCGCTCTATTATTAGTGTCTTTTTAGACAGACTACAATGAACCAAATGATGATTATGTAACTTCAGGTGTTTGGGCCAAGACCTGAACGGCATTAAAGCACTGCCAGAGGAATAATGAGAGGGAAAAACACAACACACATACAGAAACGCAGTACTGCCGACGCACAACTACTTCTTACCTCATATCAACCATACAACCCCCGGGGGCTCAGGTACACAGCACATGAATTATGTAACAAGGCAGGAGGTTACTCTCTCTGTGTGTGTGTACGTTTGGTGTTTTTTTCTTTTTTATCTGTATGTGAGTGTGTGTGTGTGCGTGACTGATGCAGACAGACACACCGTCATCTGTCAGGGTGTAGATGAGCCGGCGTCTGACAGACAACAAGCCAGGAGATAATGGACGGGTTTAGTGCTTCCTGTGAAATTGGGCCGGCGATGATTTTAGTGAGCGGGTGGGGAGCACTTCTCCATCAACCCTGTGCATTCCTCCATCACTCTCCCTCTCTAATCTCCCTGTCCGTCTCCCTTTCCCTGGCCTAGTCTCTCCCCCCTTCTCACCCCTCTGTCTTCTAGCAGTGTCTTATCGACTGACACAAATGCAACTGCACGGTGTGCATTTTCTGTGACTGTGCACTCTGTGTGTGTGCGTGTGTGTGATTCCCCACTGCTTGGACCGTCTCCCGCATGGACTGCAAATGGGTTTCACAAACACTTATCAGGACTGACTTCCTATCCCTTGCAGAGTGAAAAATAATATCACTCGTGCCTAAAATACTCGGAGTCTATTGAGATGCACGGTGTCTCTGCGGCTTCTGTTCCTCCATACTTACCTTTGCCCTCGGTATCCGTCGTCTGAGCAGCGCGCCGTACTGAAACGCCGGGGCATAATTGAGCAGCCACATGTGCAGTAAACTATTTATGAAGCCATATTGCCTTTCTTGAAAGATCATCTTACTCAAAGACCAAAACGTTTCTCAGATTTCTGCGACCACTCAGCCCAGTACAACAGAGGGAAAAAGAAGCAATTTGGTTTGTGGAGCTAATGGCTGCATACAGTCATTTTAGAGCAGCAGGAGTGTCCTAGGTGGATTTAAAAATCTTGCCATAATAATTTTGTTTGCTATGTTGTGCAGGGTCAGGGTTAGGGTCAGTGTTCCGTAGTAGTTATATTTTGGGCAGGCTAGCCCACTGCCTTGGGTAACAGACAAGTCTCCGTCTACGGCTTCACAGCTACGAGGACACAAGGCGGGTCACTCTATCTCTGCAGAAAGGTCACTCTTTAAATGATGTAAGAGCCCAACGGGCAAGGCAATTTGAGGGAAGAGAAAGGAAAAGTGACATAAATGAGAGGTGGGCAAAATGTTTCCATAGTTACCTAATTGGAAATGTCCCCTCCACCTATTCTTCATCATCCTGAATAAAGTACATCATCGTCTCTCTGCTCTTTTGGCCCATCATTTCAAGGCTGCTCTTATTCTACACACGGCACATAAAAGGACATTGTGTGGTGGAAAAAAGGGCTTTTCGCTGCTCCAATTACCTTGTTCTAATCTTATCTAAGCTCTGGCTGAGTGAACTGAAGCGTCTTTGTCCTGCCGCTCCTGCTGCCTCATGCTTTCTGGCAGGACATGGGATTTTGGAGAGGACACCGAGCACCTTGTCCTCCATCTTTTTCTTTTTTTTTTAGGTAGGAGAATGCTTTGTTTATTCTTCCATCAGTGACTGGCTGCAAATCCCTGTGTCAGAGCAATGTCGTGGCTTCATGATAACAGCTGCTGTTTGGGTGTATGAATCAGAGGAGCCGGTGTTATCTGGATCTGTACAGTATTGGTTTGATGGAAAGACTGCGTGTTCAGGAAGTGTGTGTATTCCAAGTATATTGAATCACATATCTGTACCAAGTTGATTCAGCCAGGAGCCACAAATTCCATCATAGGTTCACAGGGTTGTTTTTCTTGACTTGTTTGACTGACCTCCCCTGGATAGTCTCAGACTTGATGACAAAGACGTTTTTTACGGTGTCAAGAGGCTGTGTCTCTTGTTGCTGTACTTCTATCACAGCTTTTTTTTTTTTTTTTTTTAAAAAAAAGCTTTTTGTCCAAGTTTTTCTGAGGTCAGAAGGGTGTGTTAACCTGAATTACTGTACTTCTATTGGAGCCTTTTAAAACTTTTTTTGCCATCATTTTTCTCTTCCCTTCTTTTATGTATTGTTCCGTGGAAAATGGTCAGATATAGATTTTTTTTTCTCTTACCTCAGAGCAGTTATTACAAACAGAATCTATTGTAAGCTTTCAAAAAAAAAGCCAGGTTGTCTCAGGATTAGAAAGTTTTCAGCTGACAGAGACAATACTGTGCACTCTTTACAGTGTTGTTTCAGCAGAAATGGCTTGTTTTCTGCATCGGCGGCCAGGGGATAAGAGCAAAAGGACACTGCTGGAGAGATCTTGAACCCTGACAGTGGTCCTGTGAGGCCTTTGGCTGTTGTGAATGAGATTTACCTGCCTGGTACTTCTCCAAGCTCTCCGACACACTGCTTAGTGCTGTCCGTAAGAGAACAAGGGCAGAGAGGGATGATGAGTGGGGACCATCGGGGAGAGTGGAAAAAAAGTGCATTTTCCTTTGAGAGCAGCATCTTATTATTCTGCCTCAGGTGCTGAACAGAGAGCAATGAGTGTTCTGTGTTTAAGGGACGTTGCACAAAACATCATGTACACATGCCTCCTTTGACACACAAGCACAGCCCATCATCTGCATATCAATGAGATCAAGAAAGTAATGAAAAATAAACATGTCAGGTTGAAAGAACAATGGTGTATGGTGTATATATATATACATATCTATGTATATACATATAGATACATACATTTATATAAATACATATATATATACACTATTATATAATAGTTAAAAAAATACAAAAAACATATCTGAGTAAATGACACCATACTGTAACTTTTTGTAACATAGACAATATTTTTGAAGCGCATGGATCACTTTTATCCACCAATAACAGTTCGAAATTGGTTATTCTTGTGGCACTTTGGCCCAGAGGCAATGTCTCTGTCTGTGATGCATTGAGACCCTGGTTCGAATCCAGGTCTGGCAAATTGATGCTTAGAAAAAATTTGTCTTTTCTTCTTAAAGCCATGGTGTAATTTCACCAAAGACCAGAAGTTCGAAATTGGTTATTCTTGTGGCACTTTGGCCCAGAGGCAACGTCTCTGTCTGTGATGCATTGAGACGCTGGTTCGAATCCAGGTCTGGCAAATTGACACTTAGAAAATGTTTCTCTTTTCTTCTTAAGCACATGGTGTAATTTCACCAAAGACTAGAAGTTCGAAATTGCTCATTCTTGTGGCACTTTGGCCCAGAGGCAATGTCTCTGTCTGGAATGTGGTGGGACCCTGGTTCGAATCCGGGTCAGGCACTCTTGCTGTTGAAGTTTAAATCTTATGCTTTACAACAGTAACCTTTCATGACAAATATACGTTCCACCACAAGCATTGTAAATGGCTGGTTAGCTCTTGGAGAGAGACGCAGGCCACATATAATTATGACAATAGGGGTTGGGTAGCTCCACCCCTAACTCCTCCCACTACCATAAATGTAACTGGCAAGCCAATGGGCCACATGGGAGGATAAATTGAGGGTAATTGGACACATCAGTCACTAATTGGATATACAAAAAAAAAAAAAACCTAAGTAAAAAAAAACCTAAATGTAAAAAGAAAAAAAAAAAACCTAAGTCCCAAAAAAAAAAAAAAAACTTTTTCCAGCCTTAGTCTGGACTCTTATGTTCGTGTCGCCCACCTGATAAAACCAGGAGCCCATTAGGGCTAAGTGACGTGACACGTCCTTAAATGTATCTACTGTTAATACACTGACACCTAAATGCTAAAAAGATTGTGCCTAATAACATTGTGTTCCTGTTGTCATTTAGCACAGTCCCTCTGAGGTACTGCGATGATGGCCGACTCCCTCTGCTGTAACATTATGGGCATATACTTACTGCAAAGCAGCTCAGCCAGAGAGTCAGTGTGTGTGAGAAGCAGCCTCAGCATGCGGCCTGGGGACAGAAAGAAAAAGAATTGTTGAGGGGAAAAAATAAATAGGGACCATTACATGAATAGAAAATTTCTACTGGGCGAGTAAATAGCATGCAAACAATAGGAGTGATTTAACAAAAAAGCTCACTCCTCCTTCTTGCCTCTTTTTTCTCTCTCTCTCATATCGTTAGATAACAAATACGCCCCCGCAGTGAGTCTTAACGGCTTCATATTCATCCTGGGAGGAGCCTACGCTAGAGCTACGACTATCTATGATCCCGACAAAGGAAACATCAAGGCTGGTCCCAACATGAATCACTCTCGGCAGTTCTGCAGGTAAGAGATTATTCACATCGCAGCATCACAAACATGTAAAAAGTAAAACTCCCAGTGACAAATTTAGCAACGTCTAATGTATTAAAATTACTGCTGCTGTCATTTATGCAGCCTCAGAAACGCTACATACTAACGAAGCCCTAAAAAGTCAAGCCTAATGATCTGTAATCCATTGTGTTATTATAAGGATAAACGGCAGCGCAGGGAAATATATTGGGGTCAATTAATTAAAATTTGAAGAAGAAAAAACTCCGTGGGCAGAGGATGGTTCTATCTCACCGTGTTTTGGTTGTGAAACTTTTCCCTTGGTAAGAAAAACAGGTTGTTAATTTAGCAGTGTGATTTTTTTTTTTTTTTTACCCAGTTGATTTTTTTTCATTAACTTACTCTGATTAGCAACTGATTCTTTTTTAAGTGTCTGTGAAAAAGTACTGCTCGTTTTAATGCGTTTTCCTTTTGTAGGAAAACACAAGAACTTTGGGTTTTGTGTTCATCAATGTTTACTTTCCATTTAAAAATCCTAAGCACAGTTTGATTTCAGCTCAACATTATTGCCCCATAGATTCATTATGAATAATTAAAAATGTAGAAAAAACAATAACACTACAATACATTTCGGTATCGTTTATCATGTATATACACTGTCCTTCCTTTGGGGGGGACAGTGAATAATTTTTTTTTTTTTAATCTAGGGAATAACAATTAGTACTTAAAATTACATTTGTGGCTTTGCTAATTCTGTGGACACAAAATTGGCTTATTCTTGATTAATGTAACCTCTGCCACCTTAAAAAAAACAGATAAAGATACAGCAAGTCTAATCTAGTTAAATGCATTGGAATAATGTGTAAATATTCTCAGGTGTGTCTGTTCCCCTGCTGTCTGCTGTGTGTCATTACTCAACCATGTCTCTGTGATTAGTCTCACTCGTTGCACTTTGTATACACTGTATACGTCTCTCCCTCATTCCTTGTCCTTGTTGGATCATTGTATCGGTTCGTTCTGTGGATCTGGTCAGGTGTGTTCCTGTGCTCAGCTCAGCGTATGCTTCCAGTTCTTAGTTTGTACTCAGTAGTTCATGCCTCGTCTGGTTTATGCCTTGTTCCTGGTCTTGTGAAGAGGTGAGTTTTTGTTCTTCTTGGCTTTGCACTTTCAAATAAACTACCTGCACCAGAAAGAGTCTCTCCACTACTGCATTTGGTTCCTGCCTTCTTCCTGCCATGTCGATGGCTAATCCTGACAGAATGATCCCACCACAACTGGACCCAGCTTGCTGGATAGCCCTCGAGGCCCGGGCGGCAGCCGAGGTGTGTACCAGCATGTGCTCCGTAGAGAAGGCAGTGGCAGCAATCTATGCTGCTGGAGTGGCATCTCCCCCCTCTGCTGCAGTTTCTCCCTCTGTGAGGCCATCTGCTGCAGCTGTGTCTGTGGCCTGTAATGAGCCGACGCCCACCTTCTCCTCTGTCCCTCCCTGGTTCATACCTGCGGATGCCTCTACAGCAGCCCTTCTTCTGTTGGTTCCTGGGGTTTCTGTGGACACACCTCTGATGGCTCCTGTACCTGCGGTGGGCCCAGCACCAGCAGCACCCATACCTCTGGTCATTTCTGGATTGCCTGTGTGGTGAAACCAGCACCTGCTGGTGATTCCAGAGTTGGTGGCACTCCTCTAGAGGTACCTGAGGCTTTCACTTCCCTATTGGTCCCAGTTGAAGGCCACACCTCCAGCTGTTCAGGAGGCGTCGGCAGTGGTCATACCTCCACTGGTTCCAGAGATGGCAGCAGTGGTCATGCCTCCAGAGGTCCGGGAGGCTCAGCTCAGTTCTTAGTTTGTATTTAGCAGTTCATGCCTCGTTTTTTTTTTTTTTTTTTGTGCAAAGCTAAAAAGAAGGCAGGAAACAAACAAAATTCTGTATGTGTGTGAGATACATTTGGGAAGCAATTACTGCCGGTGATCTCATGTGCAGAATGCATATCGTACATCAAGTTGTCAGTTATTGATAAGCTGCAGCAGGCCATGCCAGGCAGCTGTTCTAGTACATTTAACTAAGTTTGACACTGAAGAGGGAGTGCTGGGGGTGGGAGGGGCATAGCATAGCACACAAACACACAGAGAAATGCTGTGAATACTCTGTCCTTCCACAGACTCAAGTCTCCTGTCTATGAAGAGGCTTCATGTTCTCTCCATGTTGCATCAGTTCTGTTTTCTCTGGGACTTCATCTGGACTAAATGTACATGTCTTTTTTTCCAATCCCTGCAGTATCTTTTTTTATATCCAACAGCAGTGCTCAGTTTTTCTTTTCCTGAGCTCGTGTCTGAGCGTGCACCTTATGTAAATGCAGATAGCTACAGATCCCAATAGGAGCACAAAGCCCTAATCAGCTTAAAGCTAAAGTTTTAATCCTGTCTGCAAACAAACTCCTGTTTCTGTTACATATCAAATTAGCACATTTGATGCAGATATTTGTTTTTCAGGTATTTGGTTTTCAGTTATTTTCTTCTCTCTTTCACCTCCTAGACTGAACATTATGAGTGGGTTTTTTTCCTCTCTAATTTACAGACAATGTTGGGCATGATGTGATTGATGTGAAAGGATCTCAGGCATAGCCCCCAGCAGGACAGCCAGCATGTTTCTGTTAATGTCTCTCTGTCTGTCTCTGCTGTGACTCATCCTCCGGCTAATATCAAAGCAACACGTGCCTGTTTCCACCCAACTCTCTTCTTGACATTGATCATCTCTCATCATTATTTGAGCCAAAATTGATGCATGCGTTAGTTTAGCGTAAAGAGCAGGGGGATACTGTGAGCTGGGCCTCATTAAACCGTAACGGTCCACCAACAACCTGCTCTGACGCTCTCTAATTAACCTATTTTTCTTGTTTCTATAATTCAGCCACAGAACAAGATGTTGAAAAACAATTGAGTTTTAATGGGGGTCACGTTTGGATGAGCCGTTGGGCTAAGTTGTTGCCGAGCAACCGCCGGACACAAGAAACGTATTGATTGGCGAAGACATTAGTGCCGGGCGAAGTGTTTTGAGGCGCTATAATAATGTCTATTGTCCTCCGTGATCGGCCAGGCACTCGTCCACTTCTGAGGTTCAGTCTGCTCTAAGGGTCATTCTCACGAACTCATTAGTGCACCGTGGCAGTAATGATTTTACTGATAAAACATGGATTTTAGTAAAGTAACAAAATCATAATAAAACTAATCATTTTCTCTGCACCGTGGCAGTAATGATTTTACTGATTACTGATAAAACTAATCATTTTCTCTTCTCTTCTCATGTGAACCAAGGAGTAACTGCAATATAGAAATAACATTTTATGACAATGTTTTCATTACTGCAATGTGTCCAGATTTGTCTGAATGTGACTGAAATTACTAAAATCACTAATTTATTAATTCACTGGAGTGACAGTATTTTAATGGAAAAACAGAACTGATCGGAGAGTCACATAAACCTCATAAATCAAAGGCTTGACCTTGTGTTTGTTCAAAGGTCATTATTTAAGACCTGGTCAGTGATTTCATTGGACTTCAGTAAAGCTTCACAAAAATGACCCAACATCACATCACAGGCATTTCTCTGTCTGATTAGTGTAACGAAGTTTACCAGCTACAATGTAGGGCCGCTCACATCAGAGGGGACAGTATTTGGCTCTGTCCACTCTGACATAATAGCCTCAGATTTGATTGACAACTGTCTAAAACAAACGTTTTGTTTCTGTGCAGTGCTGTGATTCTGGATGGGAAGATCTATGCCACAGGAGGCACCGTAAGCAGCGAGGGTCCAGTCCTGGGAAATATGGAAACGTTTGACCCTTGTACCAACACTTGGACACTCCTGCAATCGCTGCCGTGCCCACTCTTCAGACACGGTTGTGTCGTCATCAAAAAGTACATCCAGAGTGGCTGAGGGCGGCCGGGACCTGTTCACAAAGTCGACACCAAACACCAGCTGGACTGCGGTTGTAGGACGAGTTTCAACAGCAGCCTCAGGCCAGTTGTAGTCAGTCCATCAGCCAGTGACCACTGGGCGCCAGCATCCTTCCATCCCATCACCTGCCCCACTCCCTGAAAAGCCCTGTGCAGAATGTACCCATGTTTCACTACTCGGCCATGTCAGGTAGCAATGCCTAACCTCCAGTACTGTATGTGTCATGGTAGTAGTTCATCTTCTCGTTCAACAGGCACAGGGAACCGATTAATCTGCAACCTCCTGGTTTGTGTGGTTTTTTTTTTTTATCTATCTATCCTCTGTTTCCTGATGTCCATTTATTATGTTCCTTTAAAAGTGCAGTTAAAGCCAGTGCAGGTCCAGATTGTCCTTTTTCAAATTGTGTTTCAGCTCTATCGTTAACTAGTGAGTACAATTTCCTTTTGGTGTTCTAACTTTTGGAAACTCTGACCAAGATAAAATGGTAATCTTCTGCACGGAACATTTTCATTAGCAAGCGAGAGACCGAGAGAGAGAATTCTTTATATCCACTGATGTCTGATCAGATGTTTAAAGTTGCGCAGTTCCTCCAGATAAAAGCACAATAATCAACTGTGACTCTTAAAATGTATTTCTTAATCCATGTTTTTGGGCCCCATCTGTCTATTTGCATTTTCTTCTTCTGCCTTTTTTCTGTTCTACCATGTTTTATGTTCAACCCACAAAGATGCTGGGTTGGTATTCTGTAAATACAGGAAGGAAATATGTATATTTTAAAAACTTGAAGGCAATTCTGTATAAATGTTTTTAGAGGAAAAAAAACAACTGATAGGTTGGACTCAAAGGTTTGTCTGTAAATCTGTACCCAAACAAATTGTTATTATTAAAAACCTAACACATAAATGAGAACAATTACCATATTGTTATGTATTGGGTTTTTTTGCCCAGTGAAATCACTCTCCTTACAAAGGTAAGACTTTATTGTATCTTCGCCACCGAACAAGGTAAAACAACACTTTGGGTTATAAAAATAAAAGGCAACAGTCGGTAAAAAAAAAAAAATGCTTTTCTTTTAATTTTTTTTTTTCCTGTTGTGAGTTTGGTGTTTACTAAGGTATCAGGTTATCAGGTTTTTTGTTTTTTACAATTTGCACCTTTATTCAAGTATATCACAGCAGTGTGTTAGAGAAATACAGTAAATGTTTCATTTCAAATTGAACTTACACTAAAGTAACAAATTTCCAACAGAGTGAGTTAAATACAACAAAAGGAAAGAATAGACAAAAGCTATGAAAGTCCATCTAAATGTACTGTGAGCAAAAATAGAATCCAGGATAAACCAAACCTTTTCTCCTTCTGCATACTGGACTAAGGAGTTTCAACTACCAGACAAAAATTGGTTGTTAGTCCATACTGGTTACTACTGTATCCTAGAAAGGAAGATCACAATGTATGACATTTAAAACTACCCATGGTATAACTCCCTGTACATTTTTAATCATTAGAATAATTCTCTGGGCAGAAATGAAATTTCAAAAAGCTTCAACCTGGTCTTGTGTATCTACTAGGGATGCTCTACACAAAGACTTTTTTATAATCAGTTTGTTCCAGTATGCCACTGTCCATAACAATTTTAACAAGGAACAAACCCCAAAAATGAAATAAATAGAAAAGGTGAAAGAGTAATGTTGTTGTGAACCTGAGAGACCTGTAAATCCTCGACCTTCCCTCAACATGCTCAAAAAAACCCTGCTACACAAACGCTGCAAAAAAAAATTAAAATAATAATAATAAAAAAATCCGTAAAACGCACAGAGCGGTTGAATGTTGGTTTCCCCATTTCCTTGAACTCATACACGCAAAAAGACAACTTGCAAAACATAAGTTGAAGTCCAAGTTTAATAATAAATAACCAAAACATGAGATGAAAATTCGCCAAAAATAGAGGTAAAAAATCGTTCCTCTGTGGCTACGAAGAAATGGGGATGATAACAAGACGGGGGGCAGAACTAAAACTCCCCCCTCAAAGTCCACATTCAGTAGAAAAAATTACCTGAAATCATAGTATTAAGTATACACCTCATGAAGAACGCCTTAAACATTTACGCACTCGTCATCTGGCTCAAATGCAAACATACAAAACAATCAGGAAGATATAACCAACTCTAGGATTACTGCAGCAGCCGAGGTCGCACTGATCCAACACCTTAGAAGGTTCGGTAGACGTCGCAACAGTATTTTTTGGGGGGATGAAAAAATACTGCGTGTGTTGTGGTACCCAGTAAACAATTTTCAATAAATTAATCTGAGGTAGCGTTGTTATCTTTTTTCTTCCTCTGCAGTAGCCCGAGTGCTAACCTGTCACGGCCAGTTTGCATCTGATCTCTTTTGTTATCTGGAGTCTGAGGAAAAGGCAGAGATGAGCTGGAGTCAGAGTTGCACAGAGGAGAGATCGGAGAGGGACAGGGCGAAAAAGAGCGCTCAAGAGGGAAACAAGGGGGTCTTCTCCGGTCTATAAAAGGTCACGAGGAGACGTCCTAAAGCTTCAGTAAAAATCCAAAAATTCAATGGGACCAAGTTCTACCATATTCTTTACATAGGAAATCCAGCTTCTCTTGTCTGAAGTTGAAAACAATGGAATAAATCGAGGTGATCTTTACACACTAAAGTACACACAAAAAAAAAAAAAAAAAATCTTGTAATGCTTTATACACTCAGTGGTGGGCACTGCCTAGAATGACCTTTTTCCATTTGGATTTGGAATCCATGTAAAACAAACAAACTAAAAAAAAAAAAAAAATCAACATATCAAAAAATATTAAAAAATGAAAAAAATATAAAACATGAGTCGACAACCTGACAAAAATAATTCCTGTGAACATGCCTGGTTTCCCCAACACCTATTGAGGGAGGAGAAAACGCTTGGCACAAAAACAAATTTTTAATCAGATATGTAGTTATGTTTTTTATGAAGGTGTTGAGAAATCAGTGATATAAAATGACCTTGGGTGAGAAAAACAAATAAAATGTTTTGGCCACACGAACAAAACAAAACAAAAAGTAAGTAATTGAGTCCCTCAAGTGTTTAAAGGCCGACAGTTATTTGCGTTGGCCTTGGTTGACATTAAAACTAAAACAGAGATATATAACCTAGATATGTGGTTAATGGACCTAATGGCATTGAGATATATATAAACACAATTTTTTTTTGCTTTTAAGGTCATTTCAACCTCAGTGGTTAACACTCACCCCCAACTTCAAGGATTATTCATTGTCACAATTAGTTAAAAAAAAAAGTCCTGCCCAATTTTAGATTTACACAAGGCACACACTAGGCAGTGCAAAACTATAGACGCATTCCAATCCCTACTGCTCCCAGTTGCTCAACTGGACAGTAAAATCAACTATTAGGTATAAGGTGGGGAAGGGGGAAGACATTCATGGTGGGACGTGGGTGCTGCCGGAAGGATCTATTAGGAGAAAATAAGTTAGGATGTTGAAGGACAGGAGAGTCAGGCGTGTCCTTTTTTTTTCACAGCTGATCTACGGGCTACACTTGTTCGACAGTGATGCTGAGTGAACACTGAGGGGGGCTAACGGCTCTCCACACCTGATGACTGCTGTAATGAAGAGGACAAAATCTCATCTAACCCCGCTGTGCCGACATCAGCAGGTTTGTGTTTGCACTTGAAGTTCTTTTGTAAACTCCAGTTCTGGGTGAGTGTTCCTGACGATGGCTCAGATACTGAACTAATCAAGAAGCTATAATACGTGAAAAAAAAAAGAGGGAGCCATCGCATAAGATGACGGTGATAACTGGCCTGTGACGAAGCGTTCTTGCACTCAAGGGCAAGAAGGACTCAGCAACTTAGTTCACTGATTCAGAACGTTATCTGACCCCTTCTGGCGGCGACGGCACTTTTGCATTCACCGTCTGCTGGTGATGATCCGAAAGCATCAGCACGCACTTGTGACGCACGCGTGTGTCTTTTAGTAGAAATACATACATGCATACCGAGTTGTGTCTACACGCAGCTCTGGACAAAAAAAAAAAAACTAAAGAAGCGACTAGGTTGTGTCATAGGACATCACCCAATTAACTGGTTCAGAAGTAAAACCCCAAGAGCAGCATGGATCAAAGTTTGGATAGCACCCAAGTAGCACCAGATTTGCCCATCACTGTGGATGTGTGTGTGCATGTATGTGAGATCGACACACCTCCAGGAGTTTGGTTGTGAAGAGAGGGTCTGGATCTGGCCAGGTTCCTGAGACGATAGCACCATTAAATATCTCTGTTCGTTCGCTTCCCCTCAGCAAAGAGAAGGCGCAGGATGTTCTGTTTTTGTGTTTGTGTCGGAGGGACCGACTCAGAAGGTCCACCGCTTTTCCTCCCCCAGTTCCTGTTTGTATTTGTGGTCCAAGGCTGTCCAGGGTCTACCTGATCGAAACGTTTCCTCCATCTCACAGGAATGTATGAAAATGCTGGATTCTTTCCTCCATTTCCTGCAACACAAACAGCGAGAGACACACAAACGCGTGCTGCTTACTCAAAGGTGCTACAGCAAACCCTGATGGGTGTCAAAGCATCTGCGCGCCACGGCCTCAGTGTTACTTGGAAATTTCTCACGGCAAACAACAACTTTCGCCATGATAAATGATGCAAAATGGAGCAAAGCTGTGCTGGAATGAGATGAGCAATTTTTCTCAGCATGAAAACAGCAGAGTTTGACACCGACTAAATCTGAGCAGAGCCGGAGGAGGAGAGATAGATGTTAGTCTGCAATAGATCATGATTAATGCCTTCAAGACGTTGCGGCGGGTGCGTTCTCTCATTTGAATGACTGTCGGTGTAACAGACACCACTACACGATAGCAATCAACATTTACAAGAGTTAAAAAGAATGTTAACTTCAGAGCAGACAATCACTTTACACTTGTGAGAGAGCAGCAACTTTTCCAGGAACACACAGTCCCTGGTTCACATAACCTTGGACAATTAGCTTCATCATTTTTTTTAGTTGTTTTTTTACTGCGGTGTCAGAAGACAGTCATTTATTTATTATTTTATTTAGAAAATTTGAAAATTATAATTAATCACTCGAGTTATACATGCTGACGTCAATTTTTCTCACATTTATTTTCACTGCTTTCTGAAAAATAAAAAAAAGCTTTTTCATAAATTTTGATGAAACCACAATTACCAGTAGACGAGACAGGATGCAGGTTATTTTTCCATTTTTTAATTTAAATCAAATTTAAGCTTTCAATTTGTTGCACTGCTTTTTTTTCTGACAATGACCTGGTTTCAGTGAACTGGTTTCACGGTTATTTAAAGTTTATCCTATAAACACCAATCAATTCTTTGTCACAACTATTGCCACCAAAATGCTCTTTCCTTTTGCATCTGAGAGGAAATAAACCCTGTTTACGTGGGAGTGAACATTTGAATAAGGATCAAAGATAACAAGGGTGAAACGCACACACTGTTTAAATGTCAGTTCCACAAACTCGTCCTCACACCAACGGCCATCTTGACGTGTCCCACCTCTGAGGATCATAACTCTGACTGACTGGCGCTGCATCAACTTTTAATCCTTAAAACTCAGCCTCAGCTACACCTACCCTCCGTCTCACTAATCTACTGAGCTGGACACAAAGAACTGATTTCCATAAGCCCTGGCTGACGGCCAAATAGCTGACGACTCAGTGAAGTCCAGCCAGCGCCGGTATTACCATATTCTGTCCAACGCTGACTGAAGCCTTTATTTACCTGGACTGCGGGAGGTAACAGCCCTTTGTTTGAGGCAGACTTTATTTAAGAGAGGAAACTTGGCTCCTAAGTCCTGTGTTTGAGAGACATAATTGACCATATTTAGTCCTGTTTGCCCTTTGCCTGAAGCAGAGCCACTATTTCTGCAGATAATGACGTATTAAAGAGATGCATGACTTTTGTTGTTCTTCACACCGTCATAGTTCACATGAGGCTACCTGTCAATATAAACTATTCAATGAGCATCTTTTTGGGAAAAAAACCTAAGCTAACTCCTCTTTTCTCTACTAGTAAAAAAACAGATTCACATTGATGGAAAGCTGGACGATGAACGGACGCACCTGGGTCGGTGAAAATCTACTTGCACCGCTGGTGAGTAAACTGCAGGAAGGCAGAGTTTTACTTCTCCGTGGGGTCACTTAAACATCCCATCAAAGAGAATCCTGACACTGTGTGCTCACCACTGTTTGAAGTACATTTTAAGACTTTAAGAATAAACACACTGTTTGAAGTACATTTTAAGACTTTTTTTTTCTGCGTATGAGAATAAACGGAGATGGCAGGAAGTAGTCGGAGGGAAATTCACTTTAACTGAAAGCTAAAGGAGGAACAGGAACTCAGGCCACGGGCATCTACACCACACCTCCACCAGGACAGGCAGGGCACTACACTGATTCATGTCCTCAGCGTTGGAGGTTTGACCTTTCTGTAACAAGGGTAACTTAATTACTTGAAAGCACCTGCTCCATCTTAGCCAATTCTTGATTTTCTTTTATTTACTACAATATTTCTTCTATGAATAGAATAGGAAAAAATATTTAGATTTATGCCTATTTTTGTTTTGTTTATCAAATACAAAAGCAGAGTCAGAAAACGTTGCTGTTCTGTCCAGATGGAGTTGTCTCACAGGGTAGTGACAGCGGGCTCGAAGTGATGAAAGCGTCGCGCTCTACGGGGACTAGTGTTAGTAATAAAAACAGCTTCAACACTAGTGCTAAGTGTCTTAAGTGTTCTCAGAAGACCCACTTTTATAGTCGGATGTTTACCATTAATGATTTACGGAGTACACATGCTCTCAATCATTTACTTATTTACTTTGGTCATTTATATTTTACTGACTATCAGAGAGTCAACAAAAAAACACCACAAAATAAACAAGTGAGTCTCAGAGTCCCGGGGCGGTTTATGAGCATCTTTGAACCACATCCCTGCCGTCCTCCACGGCAAACACACAATCAGCCATAAAAATATAAGACCTGTAGAACAGGCAGCTCACTCAGCTGGTGTCATGTGAACCTCGGGCATCTCGCAGACGCAGGTTAAAAGGTCAAAGGCTTTTTACAAACTCTTAAACTGCAGTCTAAGACACCAAGAAAATGCATTACCAATACCAGAGTGAAATGCCAATTTGTGGTTTGGGGCCCTGCTGTGTTGTTGTGTACGCAGCAGAGATGGTCCCCGTGGCCTTAACTGGAAGCGGGGTGCGGTCCACTCCAGCTGCTTAAAGGTCAGCTCTTCCAGAAGACTGAGACGAGCCGTACCCAGAGGAGGACGCACGGAGAGTAAAGGAAACAAATGTACCTTCACGCTCCATTTAACTCTGCTCCACAGCACACCATACCGTACCCTATATATGTATACGTGTGTGTGTGTGACCCGCTACAGAGAGGGGATGAGCGTGTGAAGCACGGGCAAACGAAAGCAAACCAGCTGACATTTCTGCTGCGGGAACAACAAATTAGGCTGGCCGTAAGAGACCCCCCCTCCCCCCACCACCTCCCCCTCCAGCCGGCCTGCAGACAGGCAGCACCACCTGGCTGACTGCACGCTCCCCCTTTTCCTATGTACTGCTTCATCTCCCTGACATCCTGACAGCCAGTTCTGGCTAGCAGCACAGGACACTGCCATTCTTGGCTCCATATCTGCACTGACATCCTACAGCAACAGCAGATGACCAGATGGTACTGGAGGGAAAAAAAAGTTATACAGCAGATTTTTTTGTTCCTGCATGGAACACTGTCAAATGAGATTAATAAAAAAAATACAGGACCTGGTAATTAGGGTCATTTTGTTGATTTCAATTGAAAATATGTAAAAAAAAAACAAACAAAAAAAAATACTTTTTTATAACAATCCACGGCCTAAAATTCGTTAGTTTTGTAATTATTATTATTATTATTATTTTTTTTACATCTTGAGTTGCTGCTTTTAAATTAAACTCCATGCAGTTTTTATCTTTACATTGCAGACAAAATGTGTTTAAGATTCTTATGTGGATTTCAAACACATTTGGCCTTGACTTAGGAAAGCATGAACATTTACAGCTTCACACCCTGTATTTAAGACAAGTAGAAAAACATAAGCTTACTGTCAATTTCAATATTCATCTTTTTTCAGTAATTCTGGGTATTCTACTAGGGCCGCAGGCATCATTGTAATTGTTTCAAAAGTATAATTCAATTCAGTTTTTAGTCCTGACCGTCAAGATGTCATAGTCGGAGCCAACTCCCCCAAGGCTGGGAAACAAGACTTCTGACCCGACTGAACAGTTACAGAGTTGCTTCAGAACATTAAACAACTGGTCGCCAACTTTAAAGAAGAGGAATCTGCCTCCTGTAGTTTCATAATGTCAGGAATGGAAAACAAAAATTGTTGGCTCATTATACATCTTCTAGAACTTTTGCACAGTACTGTGTGATTAATTTACTGCTCAGTACTCCTCTGACAGATATTACTCTCCGCATTTACCCCGTGAGTGACACACAGCAGTGATTAACATACTCCTGTGTCTCAGATTAACACCAGGAACACACAAGCACCCAGGGAGTGGAGGAGTTTTGGTGCTCGCTCAAAACACCGCTGCCGCATGCGTACATCCTACCACTGGGTTTGCACTTGAGGAAATATCTAATTAAAAAGCACCCATGTTGAATTTTAGTGAACTAAGGGGTCATCAACAGTCCCATGGTGCTTTGCTGTCTCTACATAAATCATATTCCTCCGACCTTCTCCTTCATCACATGTTTCTCCTCCACTGCAGTACACTCTAAGTCCACCCCTGGGACGTTTGGCCATCAGTGTGAGATCTGCTATTTTAGACGCTCACAGCTATACTTCTGGTCCAGGATGCCTAATAGCATGCACTGTCAGATTTAGACTTACATTTCCATTTATGCCAACTTTGAGTTGTAGACTCATGTTATACAGTAACTAGACCAAATCTTTTTTTTTCTTTTTGATGCAGTCGTAAAAGCTTTTAGATAAAAACCTAGTTTTTATCATCTCCATCCTTCAACAAAAGACCGTTTAGTTTGTTAATTATTCAGAAGACAAAGGGTGTCTTTCCTACTGACCTCCAGTAGCTGCGTCTTGTCGTACTCTCTGCGGTACTTGTATATACACTGGCCGAGGAGAGAGTACAGTCTTTCTAGTTGCTCCACGCTGTAGTCTTCACTCTTCTTCACCACCACATCCAGTAGCACCTGTAAGAACATGACAGCAACACGACAGTGAATACAACAAACTAGTGCAGCTCTAACACGACCACAGGGAGCACATGTGAGGGCTACACATTTAATTGTTTTGTATTTTGTAACAAAATCGCTATTGGTTGAACCTAAAAAGCAACAACTTTATTCATTTATTTTTCTTTTACCTCGACCGAAAATGAAAAACATGTTGTTGAATAACTAGTCGCAGCAGCTGAGCGTCGGTGGCGGCGCATGGAGATGAAACATTTGGAGGTCAGTTTTATCCAAAAGCAATTTAGCTCAGAGTGACAGCTAATTAAAGCTAATCATAATTAGAACCAAGTTTACATTTCACTGCAACTTTGATTAAACCACACTGGACAGTCAAATGCCCCTTTTCATTGACCCGTACCTCACATGTTGCCCCACGCCAAAGTATCTTTTTAAACACAGCGCTCATCAGAATGCATGGACTGAGACGGAAAATAGACAATAATTAAAGTGACATCACTGATACAAGACGAGCCAACGTGTAAACGCAGGGAGGGTGAACGTGAGTTAAACACATAAAACCCAGGCAATGGTACGATTAATGAGACGCAAATGTGTGTCAAAGCCTTTTTGTGAGTGAACGTCTAAGAGATAATTTACAGTGACCTAAAGTAACGTGACAAAGACAAAAAGGATAAGACCGCATTAATCACCGTTCCACGTCTGACTTTGATTTCCGTTTGAACGGCAGAACAGTTGTATTCACTAAGGTAACAGCCTGAACTTCCGCCGTCAGAAAAATCAAATCCCGAGACAGACTTTATTCACGACCACATGTTTGACTTTAAGAGCAGCACTTCACTTTGTAAGGACGTCCTCACTTTGCAGCACGCACACCTTACAAAGAGACGGGGCAGTGCATTTCAAACAAGAGCTGCCCTTCAGAGCCAACCTCACTGTTAACAACTCTGAAGACCTGAGCATAAACAACATCGACAGGCTAATTTTTCTCCTGCAATGTGACAACGTAAACATGATGGGTGTGAAGTCGCCTTTGACATCGGGGTTGAACCTGACGTGACCCAAGTCTAGCCACACATGTTGACAACACGAGAGAGCAGTGAGGTCAAGTAAATAAACCTTCTAGTCTTACAGCGAACCTGAAGTTATTTTTATGATTTTTTTTATATTATCCTGAGACATGATCATATATATTTTAAGTCTTTAAAATCCTGTTTTTGAGGTTTAAAAGAAGGAAATAATAAAAGTTGTTTTCTTTGAATTTTATAGTGAAATTAAAAAAAAAAGGAAAGGTCATCAATTACAACCCGTTATTGATTTTCTTACATAATGATTTGCCATTAGTAAATTAATTAGCATTTGCAGCCCAGCACTGAACTAAGTGGGGAGGAAACTTGAAATGAGAATAAAACACATACATACTGTAACTTCTTAAGGCAGAGCTCTGTCTCACCCACACACACATCACATCACATCACATGAAACCCCTGCCGTTCACACTCTTACTCTGCAGTACCCTGAGATGAAAAAAAGGCTCCGCTGCATCATGCATCTTTTGATGGTTGGACTATCAAAGTAGGTCAAACTGATTTCTGTTCACTCTGCATATAAATTCATTGAACACCATCCAAATCAGTTGATGAACCGTGTATTTACTGAGTGTCTGAAGCATTTTTAAAACCCTGAGCAAACCCTGAAAGCATTCGGAATATTCTAAAACGCACACAAAATTATAATGATCTCCATGGCTCCGAAGCACACACAAAAAGTCAGCAACAGATTGAGCATATTTTATGGTTTCCTCTGCCGCTCCTCACCCACTACAGCTACTTAAATAGCTACTTGTTTTGACAGAGCACGTCGCTGTCAGACGCCAAATATTATATCATGTACTTTATATTTTTTATAAGATACTTTAATAGTTTTATTTTTGCCAAACTGCTCTCGCTATTCTTTCCATTTCCCATTGCTTGCTATAAGCACATTTCAACACTTTACAGTAAACCTTCGCTTTTAGAAAGGCTTTTCTCGCCCTTCAATGTTTTATTGAGCCTCTCTTCACCATGTTCTCAACCACTTTTCCCAGGTAATGTTTAGACTGTTTCTATAGAATATTTCCCTTTTTTACTCACTAAGGCTCCCCCCCCATCCTTCATTTCTCTCTTTTAACTCTTCACTCTGCAGATTGTAACCAAGTGCTTCCCGGCCTTTGTCAGCTTGATCTGTACATCTGCAGCAGTGTGAGCTGAACAGTGTCTCTTCCACGTCTCACCCACTGAGTGAGCTCAACAAACACAAAAGGGCAGTAATCCCATGAGTTAAATAGTGATACCGACGTGGACCATTTAACCTCACTTACTCGAAACACCCCCGGCTCCCGTTTCCTTCTCCGTCTTTACTTTTAACAGCGTCTTTACACTGTCTCAAGCCTATTGGTAAAGTTACATCTGTGCCTTAAGTATGCTTGGGTGATGCAAAAGTCAAATGACCAACCCTAACGCTGTAATAGATACAAAAATATATTATTATTTGTTAGGACTATCGAGCAGCAGCGTGAAAGTTCATTTTACAATTTTACAATGTTCTAATATCAAATCAATAAGAAAAGAAATGATGAGCTAAATGATGAGGTGCGTCATCTGCAGAGGTCTCAGTCAAGATGTTTGTTATTCTTATTCTTTTTTTGTGCCTGCTAACAAATTGCCAATTTGTTCCCATTTTTAACAGGAGGTAATATGGTAGAATAAAGAAAAAAAATCCTGGATCCTCAGTCACTATTAATGATTTCTGCAGGGGCACAAGGTGACAGTGACACTGACATATAAATATCCAGTCTTGCTGGCAAATAACGTGGCTCATGGGTCACACAGGTAATGCAATATTGATGGTGCTGCAAGGGTCAGGGACAATTGTGACAAATCAAATAACCATGGTCTCAGCACATTAAAATGAAATGCAGTCCTTTCAGCGGGGGCTGTAAAGTCCCGCGTGCTTGATTTATCATCCTAAATATGCAGCGGCTGGCTTTACATGCCACGATGGAACCGCCGGCACGAGGCTGGTCCTGCCATAACTGTGGAAAGATCAGCATGTGTAACATCTGTATTAGGCCACAGGAGATAACCTTATAATGAGAATTTTTTTTCTTTTTTTTTTCAAATTGTCCAGTTGTTATGAAATCAAATACCAAAAAGCCTCACATTTCAAAGTTTAAACTCTTCTTCCACATGGTTACCATTTATAAAGAAACAAACTGATATCTGTGGACAACTGCTAAGTGCTAGCGAGTTACTCATTATGACACAAACACTCCACTTCATGCAGGCGATGTTATCCCCTCAAAAAGAACAGTCAAATGAGAAGGATTCATTTATTTATTAGCTCTTTTATCTCCTTGTATTATTACAGCCTGCTCTGACAAAGTCTGAATCGTGGAACTGACTAGAATAGTGTCTTTTTTATCTTTTTGCATTTCTGTTAAGACACATCTTGTTCCCACTTTGTGTGTAACCATAGCAACCAAATTTACATTACAGGCAATGGAGCTGTACAACAGCCAGGCTCCCCAGTGGAGAGGCGATGGCAAGCCAAGGCAAACAGTCACTTCTTCATGTCTCATGGTCACTTGGTTACCAAATTGTGTCCAAGTTGAACGTAGCGTCAAGAAGCACAAAGTGTCTGAGCCAAGATTTGTGTGTTTAACAAACTCTGAAAAGCACGACCTTCACAACAAAACCCTCTGAGCTGAAACATTTTTTTTTTCAGTTACTGATCAATTCAATCAAGGTCTGCTGCTGAGGTTGTGATTTAGAAGACAATCATGTCTCCAGATGAGTTGTAGCGCCAACTGTTTTTAAGGTTTGTTATCACACAAAATGCTCTAAGTTTTCTGTTTAACAACATTTATCAGGAACTTCTCCAGATGATTGAAGGGCCAAAAACCCTCAACACAATGCAGATAACCAAACTGTTGTCTCAGAGTATCCAGAATTCATATTTTGGCAAACGAAAGTAAAGGACAGTAAAATTCCAGCAATTATCAAACAAGGCTACAATTAATTAATCAATTCTTGCAGCTATACTGAAACATTTAATTATAAATTATAAGCATTTTTGTAAAAACTATCCACTCATTCCTAAAGACAGGTTACTTCCCCTGGAGGAAGCTGGAATACCTGGTGGTCGTTCACACACAGGAAGAACAGGCTTTCTTTGTGGAGTTTGCATGGAGATTAAAACATTACACCTGTGATCTCAAAACTTAAAAAAAAAGTGATTCATATCCTGCTCCATCCGTTTGAATAGTTAATGTCAGATTACAGATGTAACAGTTTCACAGTGACATACAGCGCTGCTATCATGAGGTTATGCCATCGTGCCAGCAAGATCATTTTTACAGAACTGCTTTGTCTAAATCAACCCGGAATATTATGAGAGGAAAATGAATAATAACCCTCTCCCACTAGAAGGTAATTACTTCACTCCACTCACACTGCAAAATGTGTCTTAGGGAGATACTGAATATTTGTCTAATAGAAGGAGCGTATTTTGCTGCTAAAATTAAAGCTATGAATACAATTTCACTTTCTCTGGTAAATATGGACGTGCTGGTAAATATTTAAAAAAATGTAATTGTTGGGGTATAACTACTAACATTGACTGAACACAAGTCAGAAGTATCTGATGTTTCAAAAACTGAATGCAAAATTACCTTAAGAGCTTTGCGATTTGTTCAAGGTTACAAACAGAATTAGTTATTGACCAGCAGTGGTTACAGTGGGACAGAACCTCGAGGGAAATTAAGGTGAATCGATGCAAGTCCTTTACACCTGTTCTACAGCAAACATGTGTTGTTGGGTGCACTAGGTGTTAGACTATTAAACAACAAAATGAGCTGACAAAGCAATATGAGAACGCGCCTTCAAAACAGTCAGGGGAAACTGGATAATCAGAATTAATTGTTGAAGGAGAATGTTTGCATTCAACATGAAGATTTTTTTTCATATTAATATTAGGACTTTTATGTTGCAAGAGACGAATAAGCCTGGCTAAAAGGAAAATGTCAAGAATCCTGGTGTTCGATTGACAACGGAGAGACTGGCTCAGCAATACTATTAGCCAGTTCTCTTTTGAACAGACATGTGGTTTAACCATTTAGACAGAAGCGCTGTTAGTGCTGTTAGCACTAAAAATGAACTCGGATGACAAACTGAAATGAGGCCATTTCTTTTGACAGGCTGGCGAAACCCAGAGACCTGTAATGGCTGGAGCTAAAAGCCAAGAGGCTCCATGCTGTGCTGGCAGCGAGGTGCACTCACTACTGTAGGCAGCTGCTGTACAGAAATGACGCACGATCTGGAGACTTGTGATAAGTTGGACGAAGAACAACAGGGCCAGGTTGATTTTAGTGTTTCTATTTTCTAATTTGCTACTGTCAGCAACACTTTGTTCTGAGTGGAGAAAACTTTTTTGAAGGTGGAAGAAAAATGAGTCTTTATTCAATCACGAAAAGCACAAGTTTCAAAACAAATATCATTGCTTTATTTTACGACCACAATCGGACCAAATATTTGCGTCTCGACGCTCAAACAGGGGACGTACTGAATACTGTAATGATATCTCTCTCCCACAGGCTCCGACTGTGGGGTGTGTCGAAAACTCCAAACACTGATACACTATTTATTTCCAGCCGGTGTCTTCCATCAAGCAAAAACTCTGGAATAATGAGCTCACTATCCGTGAATTTAACTGAGAAGGAGTAGCATATCCCTAACTACTGGCCCTAATACACACTGGGCAACATTCCAGTCTGCGAAGCCAAGAAATGTCTGCTTAAACGAGACTTTCATCCTGCAAACCGGAAATTCAATTTGTTCCGTAAGCTCGGGATAAAAAAGCAATTATTCACAGTCCCTTCATTTCACAATCTGTTTCTTTGTGATATCTGCTTTTTTTTTTGCCCTAACTAACAAATAAATCCCAAATTACTGCCGTGTGTGGCTGGTCATACGGAGATCCAGCTGAAGCAGCACGACGAAGCTTGTGAATCAATTAATTTGATGGATGTAGATTCAACAAGGCAGGATGGAAACTTTTCCATGTCATCCATCGCAACAAGACACGAGTAACAGTTACTCAATACGTCGCTCTATGGGTAAAAAAACAAACAAAAAAAAGTATGTATGTTTGAAGAACCCTTCTTTTACACAAATTACATTACAGCGCTGCCCTCAAAGCCCATGGCCCCAATCTGATCAGTGAGAAGAAGTGCTGTCAGGGGAGCCAACTCAACCAAGGCTTCAATTTACACTGGGAGACCCTAGCGTGACTGTGCAAAGCAATGTAGAGCTCTCTCCTATTTGAACACATCCTGGAATAAGCCGGCGAATCTAGTGAGGCACAGAGGAACTCATGTTTGAGTCATTAACTTATTCCCTCCATATACAGAAGCAGCAACACCTGTTGATTGAGGAATGTGGAAAAAAAGGGCCTGTCATTGTAATTGGCTCCCTGGATGTTTGGACAGCAGGGATAAAAACCGCTGACAGTTAAAAGATAAAGAAAAAAAGAAAAGACAGTGGAATAACTGTGGGATGAATAGAAAGGCAGGATAAGCTGAAGGAGTTGGGAATCAGCCATCTGAGGAGGGCAGTGTGACAGCATCAGCTGCAGACAGACCTATGGATGTGGGAGCTTAAGGCTTGTTACTCATGAGCAACTTTCTCTACCTTTCATACAGCTGCCTTTTACAGTGAAGTCCAGTGAAATGAAACTTTTTAAAAAAATCTGTCTGCTACGGCTTCTGTGTTTGGTAACAGATTTACAGTACTGAATGCACATACTGAAGTGCACACTACAAAAAACAACAAACAGAATACAAATATACAGTAACAAACAGCCTACTGTTGTTAGTACCTTGTACGTTCATAGGGTTAGATGTTTTAAAACAGTTATATTGTTAATCAAAAAAAGTTTTTAAAAAAGGGTAAAAAAGGGTCTAAATGTCATTAAACTGAAAACTATTTTTGAGTCTGATTTATTACAGGGTGGTAGTGGTAGATAGTTAATCATGATTGTGATAAATCAAGATTAAATACAAATAATCAACAGACCAGAAAGACAATAAACAGCAGGAGGACGCATGTGTTTGAGACTACTCTAATGTCGACAGTCCCTCACAGTCCGTTTGGCAACTGTGTCAGTCTAGCTGTAGACGTACTTACCAAAAAGATTATCAAATAAACTAGTGAAAAACGTATTAACTAATGTTAAACCCGACAAAACATTTTGAAAAAAATCATTTTACCAAAAGTCGCTGATGGTCCACTACCACTGGAGGATGCACAGGAGGTTGTGGCTCTTCCTCTGTCCGTTCAGCAGATCCCTTCAGCTGCTCTGATGAGCTGTCCATGCATTTCACCTCTCCCTCTGAGAAAAGGATAAGAGGATAATAAATGGAAAGAAGGAAAGAAGGGAGGAAGTTAACTGAGGAAGGAAGCTGTTTCATGAATTAAAGCAACATTTAATTAATGGGAGAGTCAAATTTCAGACCTCAATTTGTTTTTCCCAAGAAACAACTGAGAGCGCAAACTGGATACTCCAAATGGAAATTAATCCTAGCTGTCATAGCCACAAGATGAATGCCCAAATGTGGTAGGGGACAGTAAATCTATTTGAAGTTACCAACCACTGGGTATATAATATTTCACATCGAGACTCCTGCTGTCCATTTATAACTGCGTTCAAACAATGTTTTGATGATTAAAGGAGCCAACGCAGCGCAGGAGAGTGGAGTGGAAGTAGCTGAGCTGTTGTTTGAGGAGATTCACTTTGTGTCCTGCTGTAGTGTGACTGTTTCACGCAATGTATTTTAGATTCTTATTCTATTATATGTATTGTCTATATACGTATTAACACCGGCCTTACAGCTGGCCGCGGCGAATCGGAAATGAAACCACAGACTCATAATTCAACAAAAAGTTACTAGCTGCTCAACTGAACCAACGAGACACCTTTAAAAGTGGAGGAAAAAACAACGAAATAAAATGTGATGGATCAAAGCTGGGGAAAAGGTCTCGTGAATCTTTATAGTCAAAAACCATTTAGGCATCATACCAAAAGGCAGAGCTTTTATACAAAAGTTGTATAAATTTTAGGCCGCTCTGCTTCCTCTATTGAAATAAAGCATTTACTATGCCAGTAGATAGCATTTCAAATTCTGTATTGCTGCTGCATTATTCATGTGACGTTCTCTATCTTTAAAGCTAAAGCAGGTGAAAAATCTAAAGTGCAAGTTAAGCAATTTTCAAAAAGGTTGAATATGTTAAAGTTGAATCATTTACTCAACTTTAAATATTTCTTCCCCTCATACTCTAAAAATCAAATGATGTTTGTCTGGACTGCTTGGTCATGTTTGTCATTATCTTCATATGCAACTTTGCACACCTGACACATCAGAGCATCTGCTTTTAATCTAACAGAATGAATCCCTCCATTCCACTTGATTACTTTAAATCAATTCTCCACAACAGTTTCCTTTTATTTGGATCGTCACACCAAATATGGAATAGTGACTGATGTGCAGCCTCAATGTTAACCAGCAGCTAATTCTAATTCATCTTTACACCATTTCAAACCTTTTAGGTGACATCCATTAAGTAATTACATACTGCACAGAGGATAGAAATGATGTTTGTACTGTTTTGTTTATGAGCAAAATAGAAAAAAAATGAAAAATGTGCACAGAGGAAAGAAGCTCCTTGAAATGTTTCTTCTTGTGGCATTCATGTATCGTAACATGGATTTTACAAAAGAAACTTTGCAAAATAGTTTTTGGCTCTTTGGTGATGGACTGAAGAACTGTCAAGGCTCGTCTCACCGTCTCAATGACTGCTGCTGTTGTTGTCGGCTCAATCCCACTCTGTCACTTGAAAAGGTTTAAGCGGCGAGAAGTAACAGAAAAACACCACACTAACCACATACTTTAATATCACACAGACCAGTTTACCTGACTTCATACCTTCTCTGTCTTGGTCTTCATCAGCACTTTCAGCCCCTGCCCTGCCATGGTGGAGAAGGATCCCCTGAGTAGAGTGGCTCTCAAGTTTGTCTTTGTGCACCCTTTGTTCTGACTTGTTAGAGCTGCCAGCTTCACCCTGAGGAGTGCCTTTGTCATCCTCACTGCTCCTCCTGAGGCTCACAGAGTCCAGGCTGTCCATCGACTCATTCCCGTTCACACAGTCCACATGCGACGTCGTCAGATCCCCCGTGTGCTTTGACTGCAACTCGGCATCAGAGGATTCAGAAGTTTCGGTCAAAGGCTCAAAGTTAGACTGCTTGGTCTGGTTTTCTGTGTTCTCGGTCTTTCCTTCTTTTGCCGTGGACTGGTTCCTCTCAGATGCTGGGTTTTCTGCGGCTTCGTTGACCTCTGTGGGGGGTCCCGTGGGTGCCGCCAGCGGAGGCTCCTCGGAGCTCTCCTCCTCAGTGGACGGCAGATGGGGATGGTGGCCGTTGGGTTGAGGGCCTGTGATGTCACATGATGATTCCTCGTCCTGCGTCAAACACGAGTCACTGGGACCTGCGGCTTCCACTTCTGCCTCGGGCTCATCTTCCTCCTCCTCTACTCCTTTCTTGTAGGATTTCTTCTTACGGATAATACCCCGCCCCCAGGAGGATCTCCGGCGAATTTTCCTTTTTATATGATCTTTATAAGATATATGAAGAGTGGAGAAAAAAAGAATATTAGATTTACTGATTACCATGGGCAAAAGACACTTAATAATAAATGAAGTGGATTAAACAAGAGGTACACAGAGAATATAAGAAATAATATAGAAAAGGCAGAGTCATGATGTTTGTGTGTTTAACCAGTAGAGACAGAGACAGATGGCAGCCATGTTACATCACTGATATTTAGACACTGATGACCACAGACGGCACTTGGTGTCGTAACAGGAAAAGAAAAACCGTATCCTCTTCTCTGCAACGAATCAACACAGCAGTGACACTTCAAGGTCTTTATTATGCACAGCATAATCCTGATAAGGACACATTGCAAAAAAACCCAAAACAAACGTAATCGCAGATAAACAACAAGATTACGCAGTGGACAAACGCGAAGTCCATCAGATCCTAGCTATTCTGAATCTAACACTGCCCAATGCACTGTTATAATACCATCACTGGGATTTGCGGCGCAATCAAAAATGTATGTCGGCTGAATACTTAAAGGAAAGAAATGAACTCATTTACATTATTCCTTGGAGGTTTTACTGCAAATATACTCTGTGCGTTCTGGGTTCCAATATGTCTTTTATTCCTAAGCAACACCTGCTACCAACACTAAGACATTATGAATCAAACCAGGCAGGTATCTTTTGCTGCCTGCGAGTTGCCAGTAAAAATTGTCCTCATCTCTTGCTTTTATCTGAGGCCTGTTTTTTTACTCTGCAGAGACAATTTTGTGCTGTACATTTCAGATGAGAGTGTTGGATTTTATAGTGAAGGGAAATAGGGTAAACAATGTTTTATCTACAACACACTCACACCCACACATATATATACAGACACATATAAAACATGTATTTTAATAACAGCTAGAAAGAAAAATATCCCTGCCCAAGCCTTCCGAGTTGCTCCTCTAAGAACTCATGCATTTCTGTTAGTAAATATTACACTTCCATCCTCCCCAAACAAAGTACCAAAAACATGTTAAAAAACTGCAAGTCGTATTTTTTACTAGTTAGGCTGTTTGTGCGCACTGGACAAGTGACTTGTACAGGTTATTAAAGACTAATCCTCATGTTCTGCACGACCACAAGAGGGCACCATCTACTCCGGTGACAACTGTCCTGAACTGAATATATCATTAAAAATAATTAATCATAGAGACCTCCTCCCCATGGAGTGACCAAACAACAGCTATAACTATCAAAATTGGCAATTAAAAACAAAAATGACCAGAGACAAAGTGGCCTTCATATTCTACAGCGGAAACCAGCAGAGGTTTAAACAGACACTGAGACCAGGTCTATTGCCAAAGACCAGAGTTTGTAATAGAGCTTCTCTCGAGTGTTTCCGGAGGCTGTTGGCAGCCTTGGCATTCAGTTTGGATGCAACTGCGGTTTTGGTTCCTCCTGATCTGATAAGGAAAGACAAGATAGCCATAGGGTAAGCTTTGGTGCAGCAAGAGAGTCTTATCCATTTCCAGACATTACTGGCACATGGGACAGCTGCTGCGCTGCAAGAGAGGGACTGAAGACAGAGAAAATGAAGAACAAAGAGAACGGATGTGCCAACACTCAGAATATTCCTGAATACTGGCATTGTGTCAATATCACATCCTCGTGTTTTGTGATTATTTCTTGCTTTTCACCTTTTCAAAACACAGAAGACTCTACATTAACAAAAAAAAATCTATGCAAGTTCACGTCGCAGATTAAAAATCTATTTTGTGCAGATTAAGTCTAGCTGGGTTGTAAATGTCTCACCGAAGCTACCTTTGAGCACCATTTCAAAATAATCTCTTCAGATGTGAACAGCACCTTCCCTCCTCTTTTACAAATTACCAAAAAAAAAAAAAAAACCTTCACAATCTCAGCAATCTTCAATCTTTTCAATAAATGGTCTGTTCCGGGTCAGCTATCAGACATCGCTCCTGTTACGTGAAATTATTTAGAATCGCAAGCAGGATGAGAGCAAATGACTCATCACAGACAGTTATTAAATTATGCATGAATGATATTGGAGCAGATCCATACAGAAAACCACCCGAAGGTCAGATCATTGTCAGGTACGGAGGGAGTGGGAGGGGGGTAGGGAGTAAAAGTCACACACAGATCACTTTATGAACAATAAAAAGTTGCATTCATAGTGCTTCAATGACACATGAGCATCAAAGTCAGCATATACTGTATATACACACAAGTCAAATCCTCAATTTTTTTTCCAACAGAGTATGAAATAGCCACCCTTGGATACTTGGAATTACTTCATAGTCTTATGTTGTGGAATATTTATTACTTTTATATCTCCAAGTCATATTAGCTCATAAAGATAAGTGTAGCCATCTCAGATAGATTGATTAAATAGGCCTCTGGGCTCAATGCCACTTTATCATCAGTAGTAACTCACATGTACCCTGTACTGCAAAAGTAGCTCAACAAATCAAGGCAGTCAATTCAATTTTACCACGATTCCTTGCCAAGAATATGTGAAAGGAAAAAAAAAAAGAGTTACTACATTGATTAGCCTTCAGGTTTTACTTAAACAAAGGCAAATTGTTGTCAGTTACAGCAGCTTAAAACAAATAATTTAACAACACGACTAGGCTCTGGAGAAAAATGAAATTTCTTAAGGAAAAACATCAGCAGAGAAGGTGAAACACTGTGGTGGAGCAGTCCTTGTTTGCCACAGGTTTAATATTCCCCAAGGGCAACAGCTGTTAGGAACGACAGCACATGTAGACGAGTGGTGAAGTCAAGTCCATTTTATTTAGTTGTTTTGTTATATTTTTGTCTACATTTGTATATTTGCCACCTGTATTTTTTTGTGGGGGAGTAACTAACTAATTAAATATTTAACGGTGAAAAAGCAAGGACATCAGACCAAAGAAATAAAATTGGCAATTAAAATACTAACATTTTTTAATAGGTATTTGCTTAACTATTGTCAAGGTGTATATAATGAAGTTGTTTTTTTAACAAATTAGTTAAGGTGCCAAGGCAGGATAAGATTAGCAAATGAGTCTAATCTCAAAATGATCACCTCAACAAAAGCCCTTTGACTCTTATACTTGAATTATTTCTAACAGAAGGATGTAGTTGAAAGCACATGTTAGTTTCCTTTTTTTTTTTTTTCATTTCTTTAGTTCACTGTAATTGACTGGACCCACGGCCTCACACTTGTAACATTAATTAAATATTGATCAGCCTTTCTCTTATCACCGGGATCTGCCAAGGATAAGAAATGGAAAAAAGACTCGTACAGTTGTCTGAGGTTTTAAATGAAACATTAGGAGACCATAGGACCAGCCAATCAATGTCAGAGAAACTGCCTGTGTTGAGTTTTATTAGCAAAAGATAAATACTAAAGGTGCTTGTCTTTTATGTAATACATTAAATATTTTAATGAAAAAAAAGATTACAAATACAATTGTAAAGTTAATTTAAATATGGACACAATTTCAAACTCACCTCATTTCATTTTCAATTAAATATAATCAATTATGTCTACTTGTATGGGTTTTTTTTAAAGAAAACAATGGAAACTGTAGGAGACAAAGAGGCAGAAAAACATAGGGTGGTGACACGGGGCCTCGGGGCCTCTGTTTGTCACATGACGTGACACTTTGCGCTGACATTTAATGAAATGTCCAGATCAATAAATGATCCCATCACTGCTTTTTGAAATGAAGGCAATCAGTCACTTTCACCGACCGCTGTAGTGTCTTTCCATTTCCCCTTCCTCTCTTTCTCTCACATAAAGGTCCACACAGCCCAATCACCCTGTTCGCTGTGGTTGTAATGGAGCACTTTACTGGGTGCACAACACAAAGAACAGGATACTTTTTTTTTCTCTTTTGGAAAAACAGTCTCAGTTTTTGTAACATGAACTTCCCAAATTG